CACACACACACACACACACACACACACACACACACACACACACACACACACACACACACAAGGAGAGAGCGAGGAGGGGGTGATTATTATGAATATACTTTTGAATAAATGGTTGTGAATTTTATGAAGCTCCATCTAAAACACGCAGCGTTAGCTGAAAGTGACGAGTTAACATATTACAGGCTTTTACTGAGATTGCACGAAATCCTACGTCTAATGTATTCCTATTTATGTTTTTGCGTACACTGACGCTTTGTGGTCATTCTCTGCATTTTGTTAATTTGACCTCCAGACAATCACCTCACTGAAATTATTAACTAAAGCTTAAATGCTGATTTCCTGAAACCTAGTAGTTATAATCAAAATAAACGCATAGAAAATGGAACAGGGCTGTAAAAATAAGATGATTTGTAATTAAAAATAACGCTATACTGCTTAACTTAACGGGCTTTTATCCAAAAACAGACTGCAGGCTGTTATATCTTTCTTCATACGAGCAGACTTCCTGTCTTTACGCACAGGATATTTAGGGATGTCCCTAAACACGGATAGGTGTATGCTGCCCATGCAGATTCATGCATTCATGTGATTGTGGTGGTGTTACACACTGTTGCATGGCTATCTCCATCTCTGGTTATCTTTTTTTTTTTTTTTTTTTTTTTTGGAATAGGCTGCTGATATGCTGTTGTTATTAGCGATGTGAGGAAAGCACAGTACATGATCTGTAGATTGACAATAGAAAAGGGAAATAATTAGCCCTTACATTGTTGAGGGAAATCACCTCCTAGTAGATTTTGGCAGGGTCTTCGGACTTCATATTGAGGTCCAACAACCACTCCCACAGGCGGTATCTGTTTATTATAGCGAATAAGCTTAATGGAAGCTGTTCTGGAAAACATTGTGTCTACTCTGTCTTGAACTTTCATTACTCCGTGTGTCCGTTTTATCCACCCCATATCTCTGATGCTAACCCATGTGTGCGTGCCAGTGAGCATACCTAATTTCGCGCGTATCCCTTGGCAGTCTGACCCCGAGGCCCCGGAGCGGCCCTCCACCTCCTGCTCCCCATATCTGACACTGCTATGCGCCTTCTCCTCACTCTCGCTTTCTCTTCCTCGGGCTTTGTTGCGGCTTGCTTGATATCCCACATTATTTCTCGTGTATTTCTTACGTGCACATGGTGATGTTCTGTGTAAAATGGGCTTTGTCTTCGCGCGTGTCGGTATCCCACATGGTCGACACGCGGTATCACAGCTGGACATAGCCAAAGGAGGAGGCTTCAATCCCTATCTGAGACTGGAAGAATATTTCTGCCTAGTGGATTTTAATATTGCTGCCTCTGAGCAAGGTGTGAGCGTCCGATTATGGAACCTGCTCTTTCAAATAGAATCTGTGAGTATGTTGTGTATTATTCTCAATTCAGCGTGACCTATCTAATCTAAAAATTTATGATAATTAAAATAAAAGTAAAAATAATGCAATTAATTTAAATTATTTACCTTATTTGCTTTGATTTACTTGGGCACCATTAATTTATTAAAAAAATAAGTATTTGTACCGCAAAACTGGCTTACTGACTTATTAAAGATGTCGATTTACTATTTCGTCCTGCCTTTATATTTGGAATCCATCCCCCCCCCCCTAAAATTTAGCTCGACGCGCTTATCGCGAGGAAAAGTAGCAAGTTCGAGTATAATAGCCATGTGTGGCTGATTATAAAGGATTATAAAGGCTTGTTCGTCCTGCTGTCACAACATGCTATAATCCAGAACACACAGTAACATCAAGTGAGGCGGGACTTGTTCCACTAGATCATCTTGTTGACATTTAGCTGGAAGCTCGTGTGCTGTAGGTTATATAGGCCTTTGGAAGTTTGTCTTGCTTTCAAACAATTCATGGATTAATTCACTCAACGAGGAAACTGTGCTCTATGCTCTGAAATGGGTCGATATGAGTTGGCATTTAAAAGAACAATAAGCCGGTTGTTTGTGAGTTCTGTTGGGAAAAAAGCGGACGTAGCATCGTCTCTTATGTGTTGTGTTATCGCTGTAGGAGCCAAAGTTGGACATTAATAGTTGGTACATGTATGCTATATTAGGGCATAGAGCCGGGTTTCCTGTTACGCCTGTCCATAGATGACAGGTGGATGTATCATCATCCTCCTCCTGCAGCTGGGTGACTTCACCCTGCAGATGCTCCTCAGGACTTGTAGTAGGAGGAAGTTCAGCAGTGTTTTTGAAGAACGGAGATGATGAATAGTCCGCAGTTTGATTGCTACGAGGTAGGAATAGGCTCGGTTGAAAATAAGACACGTTGTATGGTGCCATTGCTGCTTTGCCTCTGAAGCACATGTGGTGATTGTGGGGATGTAAACTATGGCTTGCATGTTCCTTTCTTAATATTACTTGTCCTGCTTCTGTATTAATGCCTTTTCAGTTTGGAGCTGTCTGGTGATGCTAGGCTTGTTCTGAACAAGCCATACCGTAAAGATCTTAATAAAACAGGGTATTACCTTGACTGTAACCTGCTTTGTGCATGCGCGCATTTCGGTGTGTACATTATATAGAGAGAGGGAGCGAGAGAGAGAGGGGGAGAGAGTGAGAGAGGCGTGCGCATGCATGCAGGCGGAATGCAATGGCTCCATGTGACCACAACACAAGCACCTCCGGCGGCCCCTTTAAGAGACGTGGGTTAGTTTTTCTCTTTGGTTATCTAGCTGTATGAGTTTATGTAATATCATAAAGCTAGAGAACCGAATGTATAAACTAATTCTGCAGTCGTCACGGCAGAGCGAGCCGGAACCGGACCGAGAAGGGGGTGCTGCCGGAGCGGATGGATGCAGCCTGCACGGAGGACTGGAAGCCCGCGGCAGCGTCCGTGCATCGCACAGGGAAACGTATCCCATCTCCTTGGACGTGCACCGGTGCAGAGAGGAACATGGCCTCCAAAAAACGGATTCATGGTGCTATATTTCTTTCGAGAAGGATGCGTGGAGTGACAGTAGCAACCGGAGACAGGCTCCATTCATAGAGTGATGAGGAGGAGGGCGATTCGGCAGTGGTGTTCATGCTTTGGTGCTTTCTCTTTGAATGGAACGTGCTTGCCTTGTTACAGTAGCTAAGACTGGTGTTTTAGATAGGTTTTTTGTTTTGTGTTTTTTTTTTGTGGGGTTTTTTTTTTTTTTTTGCATTAACCGTGTAGTTATTTCGATGCCGATAAACAGGGGAGATGAGGTGAGATGAGCACGAGCTGTAGCTAGAAGAGGCACCTGATTGGAGGGATCTTGAATGTCACGTGTTCTATCAGAAGCCCCCATGTCCCCTCTCTGCTGGCCTGTTTGTGTAGCCTATTGGATTTGGAAAAATTGTATTAAGAATCAAAGCTTCTTATTGGTAGCAATCTGTTAATGCACATTGTTGTATTTTACCTTTAAAACGCAAAATGCAGGTGCGTCATCGAGCCATATCACACCATGCAGAAGTACTCTGTTTAAGAGGTACACTCACCTTTATGTGCTTCTGTTGATTCTGATGGCAATAATCCATCTTTCAGATACATTAAGAGTGCTTAATATATTATACCTATAGGAGTAAGGAGGAGGATGTGTAGCAGGTCATCAAAGTAATGTGTGACAGGTTATGAAGTGGAGGAAGAAGACACAGATGTTTGTCAAAGGGATCATGTTGTATTCGTGGATTTAGCATGATTGATGTCCTTATCGGGAGCATTTTAAAACTTCACAGACACAGAAAACAGTTCAAAACAACAGCTCATGCTTGTGCTGAGGCCAGGAAAGCACAACGTTGTGCAGTTAAAACAAAGGCACATTCTGGTTTTGATGGTGAGAAAAACAAGCATGCTACATTGCCACTAAGTTGTATTTTCTCTGTTAAAAGGTAGATATGACTGAGCACTCTGGCCTCTCACAAATCACAGCATGATTTGATTGCTGATGTAGAGTAGCAGGCCAAGCACAGGGATTTTGGGAGGCAGCATCACTGAAAGGCAGGGTCAGCTGGGTCACCCAGACTGGTTTTCAGGCTTGTTTCATAATGCTTTTTGGGGTGCACATTATCTGCTCATTCTCCACTCAATCTGAGTCAGAGTGGAGCTGCCACTGACTGACAGGATGTTCTCTGTAGTGTGAAGCATATGGAATTTTAAACAAGCCAATTCAGTGCTATAGCTGCTAAATCTGTGGCTGCTTGCGGCTCTGCACCGTGGAGAGTGTGTGAGTGTGTAGCAGAACAGAGCCTGGTGCTACTGTTGGTAGGCCCTGGCTTATACTGCGTCACAGAGCAGGGCAGGTGCTAGCAATGGACCTAGCTAGAAGATGTCTGTGCCTTCTCAGTGAGCTGTGCTTTTGTGGTGTCATGCTGCTGTACGTGCGAGTCGGTATTGTCTGTGCATATTAGTAAATATGTGCCATTCACACGTAAGGTTAGAAATATTAGCTCCCTGCAGTTGTAATTATGATAATATTAGTGTGTGCTGTGCAGTTATTGTTCAGTTAGTGTAATAGAGTCTGGTATTATGCAAGGTTGCATGGTGTCAGGATATCCACAATGTGAAATCAGTACAAGCTTATTTCTAGGTGAGACATTTTTATATAAAGAATTAAGACCTTCAAATGAAATCAAAGCCACAGCATTGTGATTTGATAAACCCAGTATTTGAAAAATAGTTACGACTTATGGACAATGTGTGCTAAAATCTTTTTTTTTAAAATTCTCCTCTCTTCTATTCATTTAACCGATAATTAAGCTGAGGCACTTATAATACATCACGCCCTGTCATCTGTGTGCTATAACAACAGCACCAGCCTCCCAGCTTCCTTCCAGCTGTAGTAGAATTTCATGCATTGCTGAGGGGTAATAAATGGAGGAAATGGGGAGAGGCCTTTGAGATTGAAATGCAGTCTGCTGAGTGACTTAGAGGCAGGCTAGACGTCGGTGTTCCCACATTAATATGTGTCTGTCTGGGCCCTCTCCACCATCAGGAGGAGGCCCTCAACACCAGATGGAGCCCAGTCTAGTCTAGTCTAGTCTAGGTCTAGCCTACAAGCACCTGCCACATGGCTGCATTAAACTGTCCATTGTCTCTGTGATTTCTCTATTTGTAGGCCTATTTGAATCTCATTTATTGTTTCACATGCCTGGGTTTATTCTGCATTATAATGGCAACATTAACAAATGGCACAAAGTTGTGGTGAGACTAGAGAGAATAGGACTAGAAAGACAGGACTGAGTATTTTGTGTAAGACAGAGGGGGAAAAAAATTCTCTTTTATGCACAAATGCATGCATTTCCAACCAAATCTATCATGCCTATAGCCTTTCTCACTGAAATGTAAGCCTCCAATTTATCAACAATATTTTTATGTTTTAGCTCTGTGTGTTTCATAAGGGCAGGCAAAAATTCTGGGACAGAGCAGCCATGCTGTTTATTGTCCATCATTGTTTTCGGTTTACAGACCTATTACCAAGGTAACATCCTTTTCTTGAATAATTGTGAGCATTATTTCAAGTTACTATAATACGTTTTCCCTTAAAAAATTGCTTACATTTTTAAACTTCAGATTTGGAAAAAAAAAAAGTTAATATTATGATTAACATTATACGTTTGCCTTTGAGTGTGAAATAAATCAGTGTTTGTGGTCTATGTGATTCAACATTGTCTGAACCCATATTCCAGCTTTATCAGCTTTCTATTATCGTTTTACCTTGAATTGCAGTGGCCTATATAAACCTCTTCTCTGAACTTATGAATTCTGGGTTTGGTAGCCTAGCAACAGCCTCTGACCCATGCAAGGGAAAGAGGAAAAAAAATTGAAAGACTGACATGCAGGCTTTAAACCCGCAAAGGATGTCAGATTTTACTGGATGTAATCTTTGAGTATTTTGTGTAATCGTTTGTGTGTGTGTGTGTGTGTGTGTGTGTGTGTGTGTGTGTGTGTGTGTGT